AGTTATCGTGGGTTCTATTGTGCTTCAAAAGGAACGTCAAAGGGCGATGATCTGGGTACACTGTAGTGTGATTACCGTAGATTGTAGGACGGAAGAAACGCAGTGCACTAACAATGGCGAACAACTTCATGTGGGTAGGACTCCATTTTTGTTGAGAATCAGAGAGCGTCTTGCTGAAATAGCCAATAGCCACCAGCTGAGAATTCGTGTGCGAAAGACGTTGGAATAAGGCTGCTCCTACCGCATATTGGCTACCGTCAGTATGAAGGTAAAATTCCTTATCCTGTGGGAATCCCAAACATGGTTCGGACGTTAATCGAAGCTTCAAGCTTCAAAAGCTTACTGTTGCTCAGTTCCCCATACGAACTTTGCCTTATCTTTTAGAAGGGCGTATAGGGGTGATGCAATTATCGCAAAATTTGGGATAAACTTTCTGAAAAAGTTGGCCATTCCCACGAACCCTTTCACAGCCTTGTGGTAGTCGGAGTGGAAAATTCTCGAGTGGCTCTTATATTTCTGTCCGCGGGTGAGTAGGAAGAGCCGGAAATCTCATGACCCAGGAAGTTACTGCGGGTGCGTGGTATTTTTGTGAGTTTTTTGCCTGATGCCTTGATGTTAAACAGGCGAAAGCGATAAAAGACCTTACGTAAAGACTGCAAATGATGGGGAAAGTCCTTATCACAAATGACGATGTGATCGAGATAAGCAAGGCAATTACTTTCCAAACTCGCTAGAATGCGCGCCATAGCCCTAGAAAAGTAAGCGCCCGCATTTTTGAGACGAAGGGAAGGTAAACAAATTGATAGATACCGCGATGTGTTGCCCAACCGCACTGTTTCTGACTTTCCGGAGAGAGGAGCAGTTGCATATAACCTGATGCCAAATCTAGAGTGGTATGGAACTTATGATCTGCGATTTTCGCTAGACTATCCTCAATGCGAGGCGACGGATAGTGATCGGTTACTGTAACGCTATTCAAGGGACGAAAGTCCAGACATACTTTTAAGAAACTATCCTTTTTCTTGACTAGAACGGTGTTGTGAACCCAGAGGGTATCGCTTTCGACGCCCAGCACGCATCAACGTATTCATGTGATCATCGAGTTCCTTTTGAAATTTTAGTAGGATGCGAGGGGCGAAATCGGGTTTGGGGGTATCAGTCGTCGTTTTGATAACGATTCCCGACTCTTCATAGAAACCGAGATCATAGGAACCAGTTGAGATACGATCGCGAAATTCATGGAACATTTGAGCTAACTGATCTCGTTCCTCCTCAGACACGGAGGAAAAACTCTGCGGAAGAGAGATCAACGTTGAAAGCATCAGTACTAACCGTCGTTCCAGCTCGTACAGCCCTTGCCACATTCCTCCTTGAAAAGGAGGTAAATCAGGACGAACATGATGGATAAGCACTGATTCATTGAAATAAGGCGGAACAGCCAATGATATCTGTTGCCCCTTGTAGAGGGTTTCAGGTCTTGACGATGGATTGGAAACTAAAAGAAGTGGGTCAGCAGCGTTAACCACAGCCGGAGAGATCATTCATGATTTATCTGACAGTTTTCCATGTTTTCAGAGCAATACGTGTGAGATCTGGTTGGTTTGTTCTGTTACGCAATACGCTAATGTCTCCGATGACGGGGTTAGTACGGTAGTTTCTGCTACGCGGATGGGTACCTGCTGCTTCGCAGCTAGGGGCGCATCTGCAGGGTTCGCGCATAAAAATTTCAAGCGATCATCCGCAAAACGAGCGGTACAGCTATTATAATCAATAGACCATGGCGGCAAGCGCCTTAGAAGATCGCTACCGAGGATGATATTGTAAGCGTCCGCCACATCGAGAATACAGGCTGACTTGGTAAAATAGACGGGTTGCTCAAAAGATAGGGAACCGATTTTGATCGAAAGAGTTGCGAGTCCTAAGAGCTGAACAGGGACTCCCGCCGACCTACCGCGCTAGTAACATCGCTTTGAAGAAGCTTAAAGGCCTCGAAGAGAGGAATAGTATCGGCAGAAGTGAGAGTAATGGATGCTCCGGTGTCTACTATTGCTAAGACTTGCACTTGATTCACACGAATAGGTATTTGCGCGGCAAAAAAGCGACCACGATGAGAGAAATACAGCACATTTACGGAACTCATTATTTTACGAGGTGGCCAAGACGAAGAGGCATCAATTTCAAGACATGCAGGTTCTACCGGCTGAGAAGGGATAGAGGATACTCAAGGGCGAGCCTGCGTTATTACAGGCTCTGTTTGACGATTAGAAGCAATTGAAAGCGGGAGCTGCTCTCGAAGACGTGGGAGCAGCCCAGGATAATATATATTGCAATATAGAATAATAAATGTTTTAAGTAGGCGAAGTGTAACAAGAATACCACAAAAGGTGATCCAAAGGTCGAGGGCTGACCAAGGACCAAAAACCGTAGTCCAAATCGAAAACGAACGAGTCTTATGCATCACAGAATTTAAAACCGGCTCTTTTTCATTGGATACACGAATATACGAAAGATGATCGGTAGACGTAGTAGTCCACAATTCTTGCCACTGATGGTCTTGAAGTAGCTCGCTCAGGTTAGTCAAAATCAGGTTATGAAAGACTGTAAAGGGGAGAGCTAGTGAGGAAGAGTTGAAAGTAGAGGGGATACCACTGCTAGGAACGGTATTGTGAAGAATCAACTGAAAATCAAGGAATGATAAAATGGCTATACCAGATGGAGGAGTGATCTTAACTAAAGGTTTGGAGAAACAAGTGCCATTAAACAGAATCAATTTCGAATTACTCGCAGGAATTGCCATACAGCGATGAATTTATACCAAGTCGGTACTCAAAGAAGAGGCTGCGATATCAGTGCGCTTCAACAGGTTACGGAGAGTGAGAGTAGGGTTAGCCACTAGAGAAGTATGGAGAGCGAAAGCTAAGAGATTTGTTCTATCACAAAGCGACAGTAATGCGTGGTGAAAAAGTGGAGACACAGCAGAACGACGGATAACTGGTGTCACAGCATAACCTTGATCCGAGACGATATGCCGTGCTCCGCAGTCTGGATCGCAATCACTGGATTCGCGCCAGAATAGAGCAAACTCTTTAGAATCAGCCCTTCATTTTCATGACCGGTGCGAATCGGCACGACTCTTGCTTGTTGGGGGTCCAAAGAAGGATTGACCCGTCCTGGAGTACGCAATTTCCTGACTCATAGGTACGTTGTGCTAGATTTCCAACCGGGGAATCGGGAGAAGCAGCTCCGTGGCGCATGTGAACTACGGTAGGGATAAGATAGCAGTTGGAAACTGCCACATTGCGTTCCGAACAACACCCAAAGGGAGCTGAGGGCCATTTAATTATAAGTGAGTTCGAGGTTGCCCAAAAGCCATTTGATTGAGTCATGCTACCGTACTCACATTTATGATGCTGGATCATCAGCTTGCACGACTTGAGGGACACTACGACTACGGAGTGAGTTTCTGTAGTTTTTTGATAACGCGCTCCGAAAAAGTTTACCGAGAAGGTAACGGACTGAGTGACAACTTTGCACAGATGGGCCGCAGTGTCATAGCGCCGTGTATTAGGACGATAAATATGAACCGAGAGAGCTTTCGGGGTCTCTTCAACTGAGGGAATAATCCATGAACAATTATAGGACGTTGGGATGCGCACAAGTGCATCGGCTCTCTCATGCGGGCATAACCATGCCGACGTCGAGAGTGCTTCGGTTGATACGAAACATAACAGCATAGAAACCGCGAAAAGCAGCTTAACTTGGGGCATCGGGATAGAAGACGAACGAGAAGACGATTGCAGAAAGCAGAGTTCGCTAACTCCTCATTGCGCTTTACTAAGGCATTAACCCTAGCGTCAGATCTTTCCAATGTAGANAACGAGAAAAATTGCGCTCGTTCGATAAACTGCGGAAAGAAGATTTGCCTGGCGCTCGCGTGTAACTCGAGGAGACGGGCACTGGCGAGAAAAATGACCAACACCTCCACAATTTAACAATTGGTCGTCTTTTCCGCCCTCACAGGACGCGTGGGCAGTCGTCCTCTAGGTTGTTGGCTGAATTGTACCTGCAATCGGTTAAATGGACTTCTGTATCTTTCATAATTCCGACGCCTAAAGTTTTGTTCCGCAGGTGCCGCCGCCTTTATCTCTATAGCTTAAGATGGTAGCGAGGGCCTGATGAAACGGTCAGCAGTGGTCTCAGCTAGCAGTTTCTCGACCATTTGGGCTTGCGCGACAGTTTGCTCAAATGTTGCCGGATTATCAAGCTTTACATAACAGCGAATATCGGGTCGTAACCTCGCAAAAATTCTTCGAATACCCCGTCCTTCTGACTAGCTGGGTACTGGCCAGAGGTGGCTGCCCGAACCAGCAACAAAAGCCTATTAGCAAAGGTGGATGCTGATTCTCCCGTTTGTTGTTAGCACGAAGTCAGGCCTTGACGGGCTATATAACGACGCTAAGGGTCTTCAAAAGGTGCTATTTATAAACTTAGGGGCGACTGCGAAATTCGCTGTGGGACCGCAATACCGTAACCCGCGCCGCGCTCATGTGCTTAGTTGCAGCTGGCCTAAACTTAAAAGTGAAATGAAAGCCACCAGGATGGGGAATGTACAGAGAAGGGAAGGTGTTGGGTTTTAGCTGCAGGTTATAATAATAGGTAATAGTCAGTAAGGTCAGGGCGACAAACAGGTATTCAAGTTCTGAAAACTTCTGCTAGTTTGATGTAGGACTTTCAAAGCAAAAGTCGTGTTGTGGTATAAGCAGTGACAGGCACTCGATGAAGACTCCCGGGGTAGCACAACCCACACCGTAGTTACTTTAGAGGAAGATTCGTAATAAATGA